TTAATATTGCAGAGGAATGTTTGCTAAATAACTACCTCCCCCTGACTTTTTAAAAGTTCCTGGAAACATTCTATTGTTCTTACTGTAGGTTTTGTAAAAGCACCTTTTTACAAACTAAAACTGTTGTCCCAATCATGACTTGATTGCCTCTATCCAGCTGCCATGATTTGAGGAAAAACAGAATATTGATTAAGAATTTATGCAAAACTTGCAAGGCAATGCCACCTTGTGGCTATATGCTAAAACTAGTTTTAGCACAGTGGGCATTTGCCATTACACACTTCAATTTATTCAAATATTGGAAACTTTTCAAAATTTAAATCATAGGCCCCAATCCTCTAATCAGATAAGTGTGCCTGGACTTTTGTGCTTTCAGGGAACCCCCTGATGGCAGTGGGGTAAGTGCAAGGTTGGATCCACATAGATCACATTAAAGAATCAGGGCCTAAGTCATTAAGCAGTCTGAAAATAATGGGAGCATTTTAAACATCTTACTGTTACCAAATGTTGTTGAAATAGCCTATTTATTTATGACAGATCAACAGGTGTATTTGAACAGGTTTAGTATTTCAGTGAAAAAAAAGTCTATTCCATTCACAGTGGACCAGATTTTCATCTGGTATAAACTGGCATAACTCCACTGATTTTAATGTAGCTATGCTGTTTTACCAGCTGTGGATCTGGCCTACCACCTACATTGGTATTCCTCCGAGAGAATGAATATAAGGAAGAAATTAAAAGATTACAAAAATAAAGTACAAACCCCAATCAGTAGTAATATGTTTCTAGTTCCAACCATTACATTTTAATAAAAATAGAATTATGGAAATAGCTGAAAGCAAATGCACAAATCCATATACGAAGTAATTATCACTATATAAAACCTTAAAGCAACCTGCACTACCTATACCACCAGTTTAAATGGACACTGGGGTAGCGATGAAAAATTTACACTATTAAATGAGGAACAAAAAAAATATATATAACTGAACTGAAGAACAAATGAAATACATTTAAAATCACTATTTCCAACCTCAAGAATTAACATTCAAAAATGCCCCCCAAAATAATGATATTTTAAAAATGATAATTTCAGTCTTAATTTGTCTTCAGGTTTTTGAGCCTTTAACATTCACTTTTTCAAGCTTTTCTCTGCAATCATGTGGGCAAGAAACTTGTGGGGGGTTTTTTGGGTTTTTGTTTGTTTTTCTTTTTTTAAAAAAAATGAAAGCTGAGGTTCTCACATAGTCATCTGACACCAGGAGCTGGAGAGCTAAGAAAAACACACCAATATATTGCAAAAAACTCATGTTAAAATTGCTAGAGCTGGCAACACAAATGGCATTACAATACAGAAATTAAAGTGCTATGCAGCTTGTTTGTATGACATCTGAGCCACTTAAAAATAAATAACCTCTACACAATGCAAAAGGTACAAAATGCTGTACAACAGAAGTAGTCAATCTAGAAAAATAAATCATCTGTCAGGTCACTTGGTCCATCTCTGCTAACACAAAATATAAGATTCAAAGGACAGTTGGCAAGAAAAGGCACAGAAACCATCCTAAACCACTACTGCCATTTTAATTAAGGATCTTTTATTTACTATCCAATGAACCATGTTAAAATTTTATAAAGCCTTTGGACTGTCCTTGTAATTGTTTATAGTAGGATAATTGATTTGCTTCAGCATAAGTGAGAAGCAGTTAACACAATATCCAAAGCATACTGTGCCCTGCAAACTTGCTGAACAAACCTAAAGAAATCAATGTACTGCATAACCAGATTTTTTCCTTTATACACCATTTTTACTGAGATAGGACTTGATTAGCCACTCCCATGTGAAAGCCTGCACAAGGGGCCTGTAGGAAAGAAAATCTCCAAGGAGTTCTCCACTCATTCTATGATGGGTTTGCCCCTGCCAAAGAGGCTGCAAGGTTCACTTATGTACTACAAGCATTCCAAGATGGCTACATTGAGGCTCTGTGCCTTTGCAGCAGCTCTGCCCCATTCCTCAGCTGTAAGGCTGCAATGCAGCTTCCTCGAACAGTGACTGTCCTCAACAGCAGAACAGTCTCCAAGGCTGGATAACTTGTTCTCCCTGAGCTCCATGGGGCCAGCAGGTAAACAGCATGTGTTCCCACCAGCTTACCCACGCCCTTTAAAAACAGATTACAATTTTCCTACATCACACTCTAGGGGAATGAGAGGTCTTTCACAGAAAACAAAAGTGTCCGCATTTCACTTTAGATCCTTGCCTTACTTCCAGATACACTTTCTTTCTTTCCTGCATATTAAGGGTCTCAGGGACAAGAAACGATAGTAACCTAAGTGTGTTATCTCCTTTATCTTAAGCATCTACTTTTTTGTTTTGAAAAAGGTGAATTCTGTGAGGCCAACTCAGTGGGGTGAAATGAAGCTAGAAGGCAACACAGGCTACGTCTACACTACACACTAGTGTCTGCAGTAAAAAGCAAGCTGCACCCACACTGCAGTATGTAGCTACAAGTGTCAGCGAAAGGCTCCACAGCGTGGAAAGGCTTTCAGCAACTCTCCACTGCCAAAGCCTTTCACTGCAGCAAGGAAAGAATCTGGCAGGGGGGAGGCACTGCTGCCTCCCCTCCACCACCAGAGCCTTTCCCTGTGGTCGGGGAAGGGCTCCAGCAGCCAGTTGGTAGTGGGACACTACACTGCTAATGGTAGCATTGTAGACATGGAGGCATGGCTTGGACAAGGTGAGAGCCATGTATTCACACACACACCTTTCATGTATGTCTTTACTTGCCCTAGCTGTACCCCACTATCTACACTGCAATTATACCATGCTGGGGAAGCTACTCGGTTACATACACTACACACCACCGAAAAAAGCACATAGTGTAAGATGTACCCACAGAGAGCCTTAGAACAAAGTAAGTATAGCAATGGAATGGAAGGGTCTCATGCAGTTATTTTGTTATATCCATAGCCTAAAGGAAACCCCTACCCTCTCATAGCCGTGGTGTAAAAGCTAAAACTCTAGAACTACAGCCAACCCAGCAGCTAGAAGAGAGACTTATTCTTTGTCTGAACCTTTAGTATTATTACACTGTCCCAATACTTGCAGCCACCCAACTTAAAGTTTTCAGTGCCCACCTTGGAATAATGGAATACTGTAATCACAAAGAAAACTCTAATGCAGCTGAATGCAACAAAGTGAGGCCTATTTACCATTCCAGTAATGGAACATATGCAGTTACCACTGCCTGCAGCTCTGTAAGCATCCCAGCAGCAGACCCTATACTGCTCCATAGTAAACTGCACCAAGGGAACCAGGAGATCCAGCAACACACTTTAAAAGTAACTTGAAAATGTAGAAAGTGTGTTTGTGATCTGTGTCTTTCCCGTTATGGCATAGGAAGGACCATTAGTACCTATACCTCAGCTAATAAAGCCAAAAGAGATTTCGATACTCAGACTAAAAATCCTTTCCCCGCTGAATTGCCTATTAGGGGAATAAGTCCGTTAAAAGATTTAAAACATTTAATGGAGGGCTGAAAAGCTCTCGCTCCAGTTCCCCAATCCTCCCCTAAAAACAAAACGTGTCAGGCTTTGAGAGTTAAAATACAACTACACCAAAAGGATATTTCTGAGGCAAAAATAAACCTTTCAGACTTTCCAATTGGATTGTGAAGAAACAAAGAAGGCAGGTGCCCTTTAAATAACATTTCTGGAGCACATTACACCGTTCCAATACGGGCAAGTTTTCTTTGCCATTTGTTTCTCTGCTTTCGGTTTCCTTTTTCTTCCCATCCATGCAACCCAGAGAAGCACTCCTTTTCCGGTTCTCCCTCCTTCCTTCTAAATCTACATTGTCTGCATGAGGCATCTATCATGACAGCCACCTTTCGAAGGGACAGGCTTGAGGATCACTAACTAATAGGGATTTTGAGCCATGAAATCCACTTCAGTGGTCTTCAACCACAAGCTCATATGAAATAAAATGTAAGGATAAATGAGCCAAAATGCGTCTGTCAACTATTTTGAAATACAAATACTTTGTAAACAACCTGCCTGATCTCTCCAGGAGCCTGGAAGAGTGTCACTATTTTCAGCCTGTAACCCTAAGTGGAAAGGGGAAAAAAAAAGCAGACACATCAGAGGTTCAAGTTTGTAGAAAGAGCTTAACCTTAAACCACTGTTTTCTGTTCAAAAAGTTGTTTCCTAAAATCTCTCTAAAAAAAACCTGATATTTAAGCACAGTAACATCATCTACCAAAGAATGTTTTACATTCACAAAATACAGGTTTAAGCTATTTTCCACTATAACAAAAACAGAAGGATGAAGGAAGGCTGTAGAGCTGGTGTCACCGTTCCAAAAAAAGTGTTTGGTATAACTTTTTATGATCTTTAAATTTAATTTACTTTAAAAAAAAAAGTTTGAATATTTTAGGAAAAAGTATCCTTTCCCACTGACAATCTGCAGTTTCTGGTTGAGGCAGACATCAAACTTAATGTCCAGATATAGTTACATACAAAGCTGCTCACTGAATAATTAGATTTCTGATGTGTACTCCGAAAGGAGGGTACCACGTATGCATCTTTTCTAGATCAAGGTTATGCTAGAAGGAACCATGAAGATTCAGGCAGCCAATAATGTGTATGGAAGAGAACGTTTACAAGTCAGATCATATTGTGAGTCAAATTCTACTCTGGTCTCTGCTTTGAGCTATGTGACCTAGGACAAGTGCCTGAGCTTAGACCTCACAGATGAAAGTTGTGTGTCTAGAACAATGCCATCCCCCTATGAAAAAGCACTACATGAATTGATACTATTTTGACCCATAAACCAGTATCCAGAGATAGCAGCAACTGAACAGCCTTCAGACACAAAATGTGTGTTCTAAATGTTATCTGTAATGCTGAGAACTATGCTCATCTATGCCAGTAGAATCCAGCTCAAGATAGTCCTTGAAGGTAACTGTAGCCTCAGATAATAGCATCAGTAATTCAGAAGTCTCTTCAACATATAAAAAAGTTTATTTAGCTACAGTATTAAAAAAATATCACATAAAATGCATAGAAATCCCATTGTTAATTCCACACACTAGAAGGGTCAGATATAAACATGTTCTTCATGGCACTTGATACCTTAGCCATAAAGAGGTGTTGATAGTTCATTAAGAGTTTCAGGCTTCAAACATTGAACAGCCATTGCAGAGAACTTGCTCGCCAGTATCACTGTAACTAGAAGAGAAACAGTCACATGTCAAATGAGTGTACACTATTTTGGACACAGTATAAAGCTTCCCCTCCTTTCTTCAAAGCTCACCACAAACAAGACTTAACCCCTGCTGTAATGTACATAAATGGTGTCTCAGACTTCATCACACTGAGACCCCCTTCTGACAACAAAAATTACTACATGACCGGGGGGAGAGAGGGGACAGAAGCCTGAGCCCACCCAAGCCCACCCCATGCAGGGGGGCCAAACCTGAAGTCCAAGGGCTCCAGCCCCAACCAGGGGGGCTGTAACCTGAGCCCTGCCACCCAGAGCTGAAGCCCTCAGGCTTTGCCCCGGGCACTAAGGCTTGGTGTTCAGCCCTGGGCCCCAGCAAGTCTAAGCCAGCCCTGGCAACCCCATTAAAATTGGGTCCCAACCCACAGTTTGAGAACCGCTGCATTAGAGAAACACTAATGGTGCTGTAAATTCTTTCCAGCTACTTCACAAGTATCCATTCCCTCTATCAGCTCTACAGAGCTGTGATAGGAGACATGCCTTTCTCACCTCACAGAACATTTGGATAGAAAGCAGAGTCACTTACAGTAAGAGTAGATTACTTCATACACTATATCCTTTCCTGTTTCAGATAGTTTAATGACAAAACTACATGCCCCTTGAAAATTTCAGGATCACTTGGGTACAACACGAAGATACAGTATGTGAAGGCACAACATATGAATGGGCCATTACAATCTGATGCATACTGCAGCCTTTCCCTTATTGAAATAGTATATTCTAAAAAGTTGCATGAGGCACTTACTCGATAATCGAACACAAGGAACAGGCAACAGCATTACAGCACTTGCAGAGTTTGCTGCAATTCTGGCATACAAAACGATCACACTGTGTGCAAGCTTCTTTGATATCAACAGTTCTTATGCAGGAGGAACAGGCTTTGGAAACTCCGACTGGTGGAGCTGTTTTAGAAATAGGTTTTTAGATTCTTATACCAGAACAGAAGATTTGAACATCAGATGTTTAAAGTTCTACAATGTTCAGGATAGTAGATTACCTCCATATCAATGTTATGACTGCAATTACATTAGTGGTGTTGGAAATTTTGACAGCTAAAGTGCATTACTCCAGGCATCAGCACAAAATATAGCCCACCTATGAAGTTTCATTGAAGACAGAATTTTGTGGCATGCCACACCTAGGTTATCAAGCAGATTATATTTAACTAAATTTATAAACCGATTATGAGGATCTCAGCTTTTAAATCAATTATATTTTAAACAAAAAGGGAGCCACATGACATCAACTAAACATGTCATTAGCAACAGCTAAGCAACTCTAGTAGAAAAAGGTATGTTCTGTGCATTCATCAAAGGAGACTAATGAAGTCCACTTCCCTAAACTGCAAAAAGAAAAGGAGTACTTGTGGCACCTTAGAGACTAACAAATTTATTTGAGCATATAAGCTTATATGCTCAAATAAATTTGTTAGTCTCTAAGGTGCCACAAGTACTTGTCTTTTTGCAAATACAGACTAACACGGCTGCGACTCTGTTCCCTATGCTGCTGATCCAAAGACATTGCAGATACCTGCTGATATAACAAATAATTAGCTAATGCCACTTACTCTTTTCCATTGCTTGGGAATGCCTCAGTAGTTTTCCATCTTGCCCAATGAGCATTTGTCCATTCCAACTGTACTTAGTACAAGTTTCCTGTGTATCTTTAAGTGGCTCTGGAAAGCAGGGGACTGTGCAGGTCCCTGCTGCGTTGCCCTTCCACATGCTATCCATGTAGGCCTGGGCGCCTCGGAAGAGTAGCTCCTTGGTCTTTTCTAGAGGACAGCAACAGGGATGGGAAGAAGAGAGTCACGGTAAGAACAGCCCTATAGAGGGGCACGCTAGGAACTCATCCTAGGCCTGGAAGGAGGAGTTTTTAAATGGGTCAATGTCCATTTCACCGCAGGCATGGAAACCCACAGAAAAACTGCTTCCCCGGACAGCTGCAATTTAGGGCTGGGCGGAGGAAGAAAGACGCCGTTGGAGGGCTGGGAGCTGGCATTAAGGACGTTTCCCGGGAACATGCTGCCAGGTGACGTTGACAGCTTGTGTGCCAGGGGTTATTAACGCTGGAGCTTTCTGAAGCTCAAGCTCGGCTGCCATCAGGAAGGGACTGCCCGGCGCCCCCAGAGCTCCCCCCCGTGGCGCTGTCCACCAACCTCACAAGCCGCCCCGGGAGCAGCCCTGGCCAGCCCCAGGCCCCGCCAACGGGCACCTACCGCAACCCCCGTCTGCCCGCGGAGGGAGCCCGGGGCGACACAAGACCGCCGCGCCCACCGGGGACTCCCGCCCGGGGCCGCTATAACCTGCCCCGCGCGGTCCCTGCCGCTTCCCCGCCCGGCCCCTCACCGAAGAGCTCCCGCCGGTACTTCTCGCCCAGGGCGCCGCGGCTCAGCTCCCGCAGCCCCACGCGGGTTTTCAGCTGCAGCGGGGCCGTGTCCCCGAAGGGGCAGGAGCGCTTCGGCATCCCGGCCCGGCGGCGGAGGGACACCGCGGGCGCCGCCGCGCTCGGACCCCCGCAGGGACGCGCCGCGGAGACACCAGCCTGAGGCCGAGCGACCCTGAAGCTGCGAAGGCCCGAGCTCGGCCCCGCCCACTTTCAGCCCTGACCCTTGACGTCACCAAACTCCCGACCAATCAAGGGAAGGGAATAGGGCGGAGCGCGGGCGAGCAGGAGCGGGGCGGCGAGGCAGAAGAGTGGAGGGGGCGGGGCTCGCACGTTAACCGTGAAATGGTGGGAGAGGGGGGCGGGGCTGTTGAATGACGTGGCCCGGCCCGGCCCGGCCCGGCCTAGCCTAGGGGCTGGACCCCACTGGGAAGGGGCAGCCTGAGGGGCGTGGAGGGCCAGGACTCCTGGGTACTGTGCTGTGTCTGTCAGGGGGCCTAGTGGGTCGAGCCAGAAACCAGGAGTCCTGGGTTCTGCTCTGGGTCTGGGGGAATCAGGGGGCCTAGTGGGTAGAGCCAGGTGCCAGGAGTCCTGGGTTCTGCTCTGGTTCTGGAGGTGCCAGGGGGCCTAGTGGGTAGAGCCAGGTGCCAGGAGTCCTGGGTTCTGCTCTGGTTCTGGGGGAATCAGGGGGCCTAGTGGGTAGAGCCAGGTGCCAGGAGTCCTGGGTTCTGCTCTGGGTCTGGGGGAATCAGGGGGCCTAGTGGGTAGAGCCAGGTGCCAGGAGTCCTGGGTTCTGCTCTGGGTCTGGAGGTGCCAGGGGGCCTAGTGGGTAGAGCCAGGTGCCAAGACTCCTTGGTGCTGCTCTGCCTCTTTGGGTGATGGGGGGCCTAGAAGATAAAGCTGTGGTCCAGGACTTCGAGGCTGGGTTTAAGTCACTTCCTTTCTATGCCTCAGTTACCCATCTGTAAAATGGGATGAAAGGGAGAACTTTAATGTCCCTGAGGCATTTTGAGATCCATGGGTCAATCAATACTATAGAAACATAACCCCCACCAGCCCTCTGTTCCCTCTCAGGGCATAGAATCCTGTAGACACCCTCCTCCCCCAATCAGGTACAATATTCTGCTGAAAATGTAAACACATTTCTTACTTCTCTATTTTCTAATAATACCCTTTGGTAAGGGCCCATACCTGCCAGGTGCTGAGTACGTAAAGGGAGTTCATGATAAGATCCTAGGTCCATGGAAGGCATTCAGCACCTTGCAGTCTTGAGCCTTTGTTTAGCACCTTTCTTAGGCTGTCTCTGTGCTTTACAAAGGTGGGTAAATATGAGATCAGTGGGAGTGTGATCATCATTCCTATCGCACTCCCCATCAATACACAGGCCAGGGAAGCTAATGGTCCAACCAGTGGACCAAATTCAGTGATGAATTTTGGTCGCATGCCACCTGTGGCCTGTTGCACGTATGCTAAGATAGCATACGTGGGGTGAGGGTGTAATAATTCAGTCAAATTCTGCTTGAGTTTTGGATTCTGTACATCAGATGAAATGAGAAATCAAACAATAAGAGTTATGTTCTGGTAGTGGAGGGTGATTCTAAAACTCTTGATCTTAGAAATAGGGTTGGAAGTGAGCAACATGTGCTACAACTGCACAGTAGGATCTTTCATTTAAGGGCAGAATTTAGGGCATTTTGCCTAGAGGCTGACATATGATATTGTCAAGATGTTCTGTTATAATTCTCTTTGCAATATGCTGCCATCACCCCACTCCAGGGCAAACACAGAATTCTTCTGTTGCAACCATTAGATTCTGCCTAAGGTGCTGACATCTCTTCTTTAATTGCTTCACAAGCCTCATCCTTGACAACATCTGCTAGTGATCAGGCATCTTCAATTTGTAGGCTACAAGGCAAAATAATTTTGTCTCATGTGTCTCAACATGGCTTGGTGTCCTGTGGGGAGAGAGTTGGTTCATCTGCTAGTCTGTTGACTCTTCACCCAAAAGACTGATCCAGGAGTACTTTTATTAATCTCACTGCAATATGCCTTGAGGAAGATCCACTGGTGACTTGGAAACAGAAGAGAGGACCGTGATCTGATCTGGCGAAGCTTGCTAGCATCTAACATTCACAAAAATTAATGGTGACAATTTCCCAGTTAGTTGAGAGTCTGTGTTATGTTATTCTACTTCTGACTGTGAAAAAACAAAAGAGACTACCAATAGTAATTGGGAATATGTTAATTTGGTTTATCTTTGAAAGCATGTTTGTGAAAGGAAGCAAGAAGGAAAATTAGACAATCCCATTTTCAATGTGCTCTTCTTCCAAGAATCATCTAGGCATATTTGTGTGTATTATGAAAAAATGGTTGGCTGAAAACTTTCTAACTCCTAAAACAAAGCAATTTATTTTTATTTATTTAGATATTTTTACAGTTTCAGTATCTCAAATAAATTGGTTAGTCTCTAAGGTGCCACAAGTACTCCTCTTCTTTTTGCGAATACAGACTAACACGGCTGCTACTCTGAAAAAAGTATCTATTATGCAAGCCACATTCAGGCCCATGCCACACAATTTTCAGTCCAGCTTTCAAACACCCCCAAATTGTGAGCATGTTTGATCTGTGGTTCTGATTCTGTCCATTATGAAAATAAAGGTCATATACAACATTTGTGCATAGGTGGGGATTATGAACACCTCAAAATTCAAAGGTGTTCATATCTTTGATTTTGATTCTGCTCCATCTGTAATACAAACAACACATTTATAAATGCTGGCATACCTCAGCTATGCCTTCAACATAAATGCCATCAACCACCCAAAGTATAATGGTATTTCTTGAAGTGTTACTACTTTATAAAATATTTTTGTTCCATTTTTGTTGCAATTGGCTAATAAATTGTAATCCTTGAGGTTATACGAGATTTCTGAACTGTTCTAATACAGTCCTGGGTGAACAATAGGCTTTTGATGTAACCTTCTGTTTCCTAAACCTCACCAGTAATTAACTTCATGGATTAACATAAAATAATGTATCCATTAGGCAGTCTATCACAAACTATAAAGAGACATATAGACAATGACATTATTGCATTCAAGATTCAGCTAAGTGTTAATATTCCCTTTTGATCTCTGAATCAATAGCTATAGTGACAGACAGAAACTGTCTGTTTACATGGGTAATTATTAAACAAAATATAAGTAAACACACACAATTAGTATCACCTCAAAGTGAGCTGTAGCTCACGAAAGCTTATGCTCAAATAAATTTTTTAGTCTCTAAGGTGCTACAAGTACTCCTTTTCTTAATACAGGTTTGCACTTCAAAGTTCTGGCCTATCTAGCAGGGAATGGCCCTAATTACCCTTCAGATACTTTCTAACATATCTTTAATGATTGGCTTTGGGTCACTTAGCCTGCAGGGTGCTTAACCCTTTCTGGCCATGTGTTACCCTTTGTACAAAATTTGTTGCAATTATATAACAGTGGTAGCAATAACAAATTTCCATCAAGTTTACAGATAGGCAAGTAAGAAAAATGCTGCTTGATAATGTATTAGTCTGATTTAAGGATACTTAGTTTATATATTTTGACATGGGATGTTGACAGTTTGTGTTTTAATGTTTATAAGCTTTAATTTTTTGAATCTCAATATCTACTGTCATTAAATAATTATTTTCCTGACCCCACATATTTTCTGACACCCCTCTATAGTTTCCAACAACTGTGAAAATGTAAATAGATACAAATAAAAAAAAGTTTAAACCCCATAATTTTGTACAAGTGTGAATATTTAAATCGATAAAAGTTGGAAAATGATTAAAAATAAACATCAATATTATCCATCAAGTTAAAAAAAATTGAATTCTCTCAAGCCTAATTATAGCCTGTCAACCTTAACAAATCAACATGTTTGCAAACTCCATGAAAGGTACTACATATTCAGCAATTATGTGATAGCAAGTGCCAAAACAAAGTTGTACATTATTATTTTATAATGAATATTTATATTTTAGCAGCAGAGATCATGGTTCTAATCTTGATAAATAAATATATGCATCAAATAAAGTTTGATAAACCAAGAATAAGTGCAGACTTAGAGACTATGCCATTTTATGCCAAGATGCTGCAGTCTAGGTGACAGCCCGCACTTGCTCTTAAATTAGCATGGCTTGGACAAATTTCATAGAGTGCTACTAGTCTATCAACTATGCTATACCAACAACATTCGTGCTTTCCTTCACTACTGCTGCAGGGTGTTTCCAGTACTGTGGTTTGATACTCTATTGTAGATCCGTCATTGGTTTTTGCAGCTGGATATGTACAGGTGTTACAAAGAGGCCTCTTTATTTAGTTTTTCTACCCATTCTACACGTCTCCCTTAAGGTTTTACTATGGACAGTGGTTTCCTTTTGTTTTCTTCCAGATTATGTTAATCTAGCTGTAGAAGTAAAAAAAGAGAACTATGCAGCAGCGATCCTTCTAATTTTTCCCACCCATGTACAGAATGAATTTTGTTATGTGCACCAGTATGGAGGTGAGGTGCGACACATTACCTCCGTATTGGTGCACATAACAAAATTCATGTGGCGGGGGTTTGGCCGAGGGGATCAGCGTGTGGGAGGGAGCTCAGGGCTGGGCCAGAGGGTTGGGGTGTGAGGAGGTTGAGGGCTCTGGCTGGGGGTGCGGGCTCTGGGATGGAGCCAGGGATGAGGGGATGGGATGCAGGCTGCCCTGGGGCTGCGACGGGGAGCAAGAAGTCCTCCCAGCACTCTTTCCCCACAGCAGCACCTGGGTTGGGGGAGAGGCACCTCTCCCTGCTGCAGCAGGTCTGGGCCGGAGCTGGGTTGGGGCCACGGGAGAGGTGCCTCTCCCACAGCCATAGCAAGTCCAGGCGGGGCTGTGTTGAGGCCAGGAGAGGGGTACCTCTCCCACGGCTGCGGCAGGTCCGGGCTTGGGCTGGGTTGAGGCATGGGGTGGGGCAGCTCTCCCAAGGCCGCAGCAGGTCCGGGATGGGGCTGGGTTCAGGCTGGGTTCAGGGCGCCTCTCCCACGGCCGTGGCAGGTCCGTGCTGGGGCGGGTTGAGGCTGCAGGAGAGGCACCTCTCCTCCAGCTGCGGCAGGTCCGTGGCTGGGCTGGGTTGGGGCCAGGGTTGGGGGAAAGGAATCTCTCCCTGCCACATCCCTGAACACCTGTGCACCACTAAATAGG